CGATGGAAAATTGTGATAATAATTTGAACTGATATAATTTTAGATAAGAAAAGATCATATAGAACGAAGCTTCTATTTTGAAACTGATTTTTACATCGCGTAGCGTAGGCTGGGAAACTTGTCAAAATTCAAACGTGTGTGAAGATATGGAAAATTTCTTTTTGGCGAGAGAAGATACACCGTCATTTTGAAGATCAAAGTTTCTCCTTCCCAATGATTCTCTCAAATTTGTTCTACAATTTCTTTTTCACTGTTTTATCGAATGTTGAATGTCAGGGTTAAATGACAAAAATCCCAACATTTAAAATTCAATAAAATGGTGAAATCGTACAGTGAGTTTCAAGAGGATTAGGTTAGGTTTATTGAATTAAAGGTTTTACGTTTTAAAATATATATCGTTACATGATCTTTTTTCTTACGAAGCTATTATCTAGTCAAATTATCGACAAGTTTTCATTGTCTGTTGTGCAGTTATGTTCTTCACTGTATATAGTACCAGTAAATATTATAGAATAAAGAAACACAAATTAGATAAAGTCGTATTCCAGTGGAATCGTATGTAATTTTATTTAAGGTACAGTATCATATATTACTATAAAAATTAGCTAGTTTTAGCTGTTTCTTGCACCCAACTTAGCGTCGAATGCTTTTCTCATCGCTGAACTATATTTATAACTATAAATGATATATTACTAATTCGAACAAATTCAGAATAAAGTGATCCCTCAAATATTCTCTTTTCACTCGTTACCATAAAAGCAAAAATTATATATTCAATAATACGTTCTTGTAATATCAAGATATCTGTATAAATTTCAGTATTTATATTCATTTATATTGACGCCAAGGTATTTAAAAATACCGGTATTAATAGGATTGATGAAAAAGCGATTCTTATACTAACTGAAATACCAATAGAACATCGAAACCTCGAAATATGTACATATATCAGTATTCGATCTCGACACGATCTTTCGCGATGTAGGACGAAGCTCCAAAAAAAAAAAAAAAAAAAAAGTGGAAAAGGCGCCATGTTTTAGCAGCTGGAGGAACAAATCTACGCCGTTCGTTGACCAGCAATAGTATACGGTTGAGATTGTGAATGGTATAGTGGTCGTTTGTCTAACTATAAAAGTCAAAGGCATTTAACGTTGGCAGTTCGTTTAAGGGGCGAGCATAAATTAAACGAGAACGCGAAGCCAGGGGCTATCTCGCGTGTCTCGAGGATAGACGCAATCGATCCGCTCTTTCACTAGCTGTTTCGAAGGAATCGTTCCTCGTTGGAAACGATCCGACACGTCGCCGACGGGAACCGAGACGACGTTGTCCCCCGAGACATTGTTCGTTGTTCGCGTTCCTCGCGTTCGTTGTTCGCGACCGTGTTTATTGCAGCCGGTGGAAGCAATTCCGGCTCGTCTTTTACGAGGTGCTCCGGGTCATCCGATTTAATTTTCTCCGGTAATCGACGGCCGTAATCTTTCTTGCTGCCTTTTACGTTTTGGCTTGTTTCTCCCTTTATGTAATCCTCCTCTCTTTCTCTCTCTGTCTCGGAGCCGAGAGATCAGCGTGCCGTGTTTGGCGAAAAAGCCGGGACTTAAAAGTTTCCTGTTTCGTGGTTTCTTTTCGAATTCTTCCTTCTTCGACCGCCTAATTCCACTTTCACCAGCCGAGTCCTCGTCGGCCTTTCCTCGTGTGTTCGCCAATCAAGAGAGGAACAATACGAGCCGTTGAACCCCTAGCATACGTAGTAGTAGAAGTGCCTAATCGCCCGGTCGAACGAGTCGCTCGCACGCGAACGATCGGCTACGGCCGGCCCTCTGCCGCTTGTGTTCCAGAAGATCGAGAAGGCGAGCGTCGTCGCCATCGTTTGTTCGCGGGCTCGACGAGACGGGAGAAACAGTACTCGACTTCCGTCTCGCCGGTTGAAAAAGGCCGGCTTAATTGTACAAAGGTGAAAGCTAATTAGTAAAATCCAATTAGACGCGCGGCGTCGCTTTCGCGCGATCTCCATTCCTAAATCCTAACCCTCGTGGCTGGATTTCGGTTCGAGATCGTTGGTATGTAATCAACGGAACGCGGATTCTCGTTGACGGTGTGGCTTCCGGTCTGCATCATCGACTATGTGTATTCATATCTTACCGATCTTCGATCCCTTGACCGCTTAATCGAAACAACTACATCTATTAATTTCCATTGGATCATTATTTCCATAGGATGACGTATGTCGTCACGTCCGCAGTGTAGCTCGTTGTGACGGATCACAGTGATCAAAAACATATTGCCACGCTTAGTTCTCTTGTAATACTTTTCTGAATGATACATTGATGACAAAATCTAATTTCATAAACAGCTCGCTACATACGGTAGCAATTTTCAATAGCGAATCATACAATAATAATACAAGTAATAGAAAAATGAGAAAAGCGAGATTCAAAAAACTATTGACATATGAGGACAAAAATTTTTTTTTTTTTGCAGTTCAACCATGTATTTGAGAACAGAATTTAAAATATTTTTAATTACTTAAGGACAAGTGACATTTCAATACTTACGAAAGGATATTTTGTCACTTTTAACTGTTGGAATTACAAGATACTTTCTGATTCTCCAGTTTTTATATTTCTTGTATCATTAATGTATTATTATTTGTCTTGTATCATTTTAATTATTATCATTTCATTATTATTATTATTATTATTATTACTGTATTATTATTGAACAATGAACAGATTTTGTTAACATTTTATTTTTTTTTTCATAAAGATATCGTCCATATTTATTTGATTCACTCTATATCACGACGATAATACTAATAGAAATAACAAGCTGATTTTCTTGGAGATGTTTCGTTACACGCGGTTAAAGGATCAAACAGATTCTGTTTATCAAAAAAAAAAAAAAAAAACAAAAATCTTCTAATTGGATCTCTTGTACTAAAGTGTACAATATTTATTTAAAGTTCTGTTTTTTGATAATTGCTCAATCGTCGAGTGCCTTAACAGTTACGAATGAAAACATTAGCTACAATTTGCGGTCGTTTATCTGCTTCTGGAACTAAGGGAAAAATACACGTGTAAACAAGCGAAAACTCGGCGTGAAACTCGCCTTAAAAGTAGAAGCAGCAGCTGCTGCGATCGTCCTCGTTAACACGGCAGGCAGCCGCTTCCGGTCTCAGCGACTACCGATACCGCGTTTCGCGACGAACGATCTCTCCTATGATCCATCGATCGTAACCGATAATCACACGCAAGAAAAAAACTACGCTCACAGCGACTTGTCTGTTAACGTAATGGTTAACTTTTTTGCTCAGCTCTGTCTCTCTACCGATCTCTCCTCCAGTCGATAAATCCCGTCTTGATGATTTCCTTTGCGATGTAGCACAACATCCCGGTTCTTGCTCGTTTCAAAATTGTTTTTCCTTTTCTTCTTCTTCTTTTTTTTTTTTTTTTTTTTTTGTAAAAAGAAAATTTTTTTAACGTGTATGAAAGTTTCAAATTTGCATAAACAAATTTACGATTTAACTACGCGACGTGGCGTAGTTCGTCTCTGTTCTCTATCTTTTCTTTCCTTTCTCGGATCGTCGAGCACGATTGTGTTACTCGGGGAGTATGCGGATTCGTCAAACGATCATAAAGATTGTCCTCGCGCCTGTAATAGAATATTCAAACGTTCTTTATTGCCGATTGTTAGAGCCGGCCATTTGAATACCTGTTAATCTAGCCAGCATCGATTTAGAAACGTCTTCGTCGTGAAAATGACCTTCGTGATCGTCGTGTGCCATATTTTTTTCTCTCGTTGCGCAATCGTCGTATTTTTTTTTTTTTTTTTTTTTTTTAGCACAAGGCCTACGCTCAGGTTTGCTGTACACGTTCGATACGTTTTAGCATTTTTAGTAACTACGCGTAATCGCGTAATCTACTAACCGAGTAAGCAAAGAGCAGACTTTTTCAGACGATAATATTTTTACGAGTTCGTAGTTCGTAAATTGCGAAGATCTCTGAATGTGTACCTTCGAGTTATTATACTTCTTTAATTTGTAAATACATTTTCTTCAACTCTTTATGCCGAGTACATTCGTAGAAAAAAAATTCGCTTCTGCTATTAATTGTGAAATATTAGATATATTTGTAATTTTAGCACATTTTAGAATATTCCAAGGCAACGAAACAAAAAGGAAAAGAAATAAATAAAAAAAAATTTGTCATGTTATATTTAACTCAATCTTACAGCAAGTGCATCTACTGTGTTTTCGTCGAGTATACTCGTCATCGTTTAGAAATAATTAAGCACACCAGTGCACATTCTCAAAATAAAAACAATTAATTATTAAAAAAAAAAGACAGTTTCAAATTTTTATTCTATTTTAACATTAGAACTACCGACGATTGAAGCATAAAATTTCCACCCAGAGAAATTAAAGTAAAAAGAACGAAAGCTTTTTATGTATTTTACGAAGAATCATTCCGTTTTAAAAATACACTGTTTTACACCTGTAAAATATCCAAATAAAAATTACCAATTATCAATTTTGACCATTTTGGTAGTTCTAGTGTTAGACTCTTTTTTTTCGTTCTTTTTTTTCCAGAAAGCTCCTCGCCGAGAAGAAATTCTTTTTTGAACGGGAGCACTTGCCGATCCTCTCGGAGTGGCACTCGCATACCTCGCCGTTCGCTTTTACAATCGCGCGTGCCCCATTATCCCGTAAATCGCGCCTTTACACTTTCCCAAGCGGGCGGAAAGGCGCGCCGAACGCGGCAATGACCGAGTCAAATCGCACGACCTTCCCGCGTGCCGGCGATAATTAGCCGGTTGAACGCGAAAAAAAAAAGAAAAAGAAAAAAAAAAA